AGGAAGGTGACAGTGACCTGTCCCCCGTGGCAGGTGGGGTACAGCATCCGTTTCGAGGACTGCACGTCGGAGCGCACGGTGCTCAAGTACATGACGGACGGGATGCTGCTGAGAGAGTTCCTGACAGAGCCTGACCTGGCCTCCTACAGGTGGGGACACACCTGGGGACACCTGGGGATACCTGGGGACACCTGGGGATACCTGGGGACACCTGGGGATACCTGGGGACACCTGGGGATACCTGGGGACACCTGGGGATACCTGGGGACACCTGGGGATACCTGGGGACACCTGGGGATACCTGGGGACACCTGGGGATACCTGGGGACACCTGGGGATACCTGGGGACACCTGGGGATACCTGGGGACACCTGGGGATACCTGGGGACACCTGGGGATACCTGGGGACACCTGGGGATACCTGGGGACACCTGGGGATACCTGGGGACACCTGGGGATACCTGGGGACACCTGGGGATACCTGGGGACACCTGGGGATACCTGGGGACACCTGGGGATACCTGGGGACACCTGGGGATACCTGGGGACACCTGGGGATACCTGGGGACACCTGGGGATACCTGGGGACACCTGGGGATACCTGGGGACACCTGGGGACACACCTGGGGTCATGGGAATACACCTGGGGACACCTGGAGACATGCCTGGGGACATGCAGACACCCAGAGGGGACACCGGGGACACCCAGGGGACACTGAGGGCAGACCTGGGGACAGTGACGACGCCCAGGGGGCACCGAGGGGACGGCAGGGGACAGCCAGGTGTCCCAGGTGCCACGGAGGGCGTCCCCGCAGCGTGATCATGGTGGACGAGGCGCACGAGCGCACGCTGCACACGGACGTGCTCTTCGGCCTCATCAAGGACATCGCGCGCTTCCGGCCGCGCCTCAAGGTGCTGGTGGCGTCGGCCACGCTGGACACGGAGCGCTTCTCCGCCTTCTTCGAGCACGCGCCCGTCTTCAGGATCCCCGGGAGACGCTTCCCCGTCGACATCTACTACACCAAGGTGACACTGGGGACACCTGGGGACACCTGGGGACACCTGGGGACACCTGGGGACACACTGGGGACACCTGGGGATACCTGGGGACACCTGGGGATACCTGGGGACACCTGGGGACACCTGGGGATACCTGGGGACACCTGGGGACACCTGGGGACACACTGGGTACACACTGGCAACACACCTGGGGACACCTGGGGGACACCTGGGGGACATTGGGGACACCTGGGGACATCTGGGGACACCTGGGGACACACTGGGGGACATCTGGGGACACACTGGGGACACACTGGCGACACACCTGGGGACACCTGGGGGACACCTGGGGGACATTGGGGACACCTGGGGGGACATGGGACAATGGGGATGCCTGGGGGGCTTTGGGGACAGCGGGTGCTGATGTCCCCTGTGTCCCCCCCATGTCCCCCCCGTGTCCCCAGGCCCCCGAGGCCGATTACCTGGAGGCCTGTGTGGTGTCGGTGCTGCAGATCCACGTCACCCAACCCCCTGGGGACATCCTGGTGTTCCTCACCGGCCAGGTCAGTGTCACCTGGTGTCACCTGAGTGTCACCTGGTGTCACCTGAGTGTCACCTGGGGTCCCCATCCCCACCCATGTCCCCGTTCCCCTCACTCCTGTCCCCAGCCCCGATTTCCTGCCACAAGTCTTTGTCCCCAGAGTGTCCCTGGGGTGTCCCTGGGGTGTCCCTGGAGTGTCCCCAATGTCCCCAATCCCAGGAGGAGATTGAGGTGTGCGTGGAGCCCCAATGTCCCCGATGTCCCCAATCCCCCCAATGTCCCCAATGTCCCCAATGTCCCTGATGTCCCC